AGACGGCATCCTGATGAGCCTTTCTGCATATTCCTTCATATCAATTTATTAACTTTTATGTATTTCCAAGCAGAAAACACTTAAAATGTGCACATGTATTTAGACTAAAATTGCATAAAACAAGAATTATAGTTGTATTGTGTGAATAGTATTTAGAGTTTGCATGCTTGTATTTGCTTGAAATATCTAGCAGTTTCCAGATACTAATACTGTAACTAATGCTTCCCCTTAAAACTTGTTTTCTAGATTGGATGTTCAGAGTAAAAAGTAGTAAAAAGTTTAAAAAGTAGTGAATAGTGTACAGCTCATGCATATCAATGCATATCAAACCATGATGTTTTTAAATAAATATCTCAGAAGTTAGTAAATGCTTAAGTTTACATTTAAGATTCCTAGTATTGTTGGCTATTGTGAGGAAACAAAAGGATACCTTACAATATTCTACGGCCTAGGGATGAAGCATTTAACCATACAGAGGGGCAGATGAAGGATTTGAGTCATAACTCAGATAATCTGTCTGTCACAAATAGTTAAGATTCTTTTTGTGCTTTAGGATCTCAGAGGATCTTGGACAGAGACAGGCCACCATACAGAGCCACTAGGCTGGTCAGGCAGGACTTGCCCTTGGTGAAGCCATGCTGGTTGTATCACATCACTTCTCTGTCTTCTGTGTGCCTGAGCATAGCTTCCAGGAGAATCTTCTCTATCATTCCCAGCACAGAGACTGATGGGTGAGTAGTTCCCTGGGTCATCCTTTCTACCCTTCTCAAAAATGAGTTCAACACTGCCTTTTTTCCAGTTTCCTGGAACTTTACCTGACAGCCATGACTTCTCAAATGTCATTGAAAGTGACTTGGTGACTACATCAGCTAATTCTCTCAGGGAATGCATCTCATCAGGACCCATAGGTTTATGGATGCTCAGGTTCCTCAGGTGGTTGTGAACCTGATCTTCACTTACAAGTAGGAGAGACTGATCTCCTAGTCCCCACCTTCTGACCCACCTGTTTGAGGACTGTGCAAAGAATTTTTGTCAGTGAAGACAGGCAAAAAGTTGTTGTGTACCTCAGCCATCTTGTCCACTGTTATCAGCCTGCATATATTGCTCACTTCAGGGAGTACATTTTCTTGGAACTTCTTTTTCTGGCTCAAGTACCCATAGAAGCTATTCTTGTTCTTCTTTGTACCCATTGCTAAGTCCAATTCCAGTTGAGCCTTGGCCTTCCTGACCCCAGCCCAACACAGTTCTGCAGTCCCTATACTCCTCCCAGGATACCTCTCTCTGCTTCCATTACCTGTGCATTTTCTTCTCCAATTTAACCAAAACGTCCCAGTTCAGCCATAACTCTTCATTTCCTAACTTAGCTCTCCATCCTCAGGTGTACTCTTGTGTTCTTAGGAAAGCTTCCTTAAAGATCTGTTAGCTCTGCTTCACTCTGTTGTAAGTTTGCTGCTATTATCCTCAGATGGGTGTTCCATATCCACAGCCTTGTACTTATTTTACAGGGGCACCTAATGTGTGGAGTACGCAAGAAGGGATTTTGCTTGAAACCTTGAGTATGGACTTAGCACCATCAACTCTTTTCTGCTGAGTTGTTGCCTTCAGCCTTGTAGTGAGAAGATACAGGATGCTTTGGATCTTGTGATTTCCTCTACAGTTGATCCCATCTCAGCATGGTTCCTCTGCTCCTTCTCTTTTCTGGACCCAATACCTATGTATTTCATAATGTGGTCTTGCCACCAGGCTGAGCAGATCATTCACTTTCTGTCAATGTAAGACAGTCAGGATTTGCTCTGCCATCCCCAGCATAACACAGCTTTGAAGAACAGGCAAAACAAAAGCTGAATGTGCTGCTGCATCTTGGAGTCAGGGTGATGTTACTAAGGATATAGAGAAGACCTATGGCTAGTGTTTGTCTTTGTTCCTCAAGTCTGGCTGTGAAGCACAACACATTTGCTACTCTGGTAATCAGCCACAGACGTGGCACTGATTGGCAGATGCCCAAGTGTGCATTTCTCTAGCAAATCAACGAAGCACCTTTGCAAAGAAGAGTACATTGAACTTTCTGAATAATTTTAGAAATGCTTAGAATAGCTGTCTTGAGCTTTAGAATAGCTGTGATGTACATTGTCCTCTTGGGCTTCTGCAGCTGTAACAGAAAAATATCTGAGCAAGGATATATGAGATGCAAGTTAAAATGCCCATTGGGAGTGGGATGTATTGATTGTCATGGAGAAAATTACTAAAATTTATTTTTATTTTTCATCTGCAAGTAAAAAAGTGGAAATAACATTTTCTTTTTACTAAAGTCTCTCTCCTGCGTTTATATGCACTTGTATAATTAGTTGAAAGAAATAGGTTGAGGTTTTTCTTGTCAGGGATCTGGATGGCACTTATTTTTTCATTGCTGTATCTGTGAATTCCATAGGTCTTGATAAATCAGATGGGTGACAACTGAAAGTATCCATTCTCACCCCAAATCACATTGTGTCAGGTGTACTTTGGGAGCATACAGTACACTTTAGCAAAGGAGAACATACAGAAACATAATGGAGGAGGCAATAATGCTGATTAAAGTACATATAGTGGAAAGAAATCTCATATAAATAACGTAATTTGCTCTTTCACTCTGAGTTATTTACACAGTAAGGACATGGAGGTTGCAACATCTTTACTATGACCCCAGATTGTTTCCCTTGCTAAATCTGTTCTGCATATGAGTCAAAGAGATGGGATTTGTGAGAGCAGTGGGATTTCTGTATTTGTAGATAGGAAATTGTCAAACAATTTGGAGTATATATAGCCTACATTCAGATGAGGCTGGTTTGTTTCCTGTGTATGGAACATTGCTACCTCATCTCTTTGATCTGAACTTGTTGCTCTATTTCATTTTCTACTCATTTCTACAAATATTATATCTTAATTATCATATTTATTATTATATCAATTATTATATTCATACATTATATATTATTGTTGCAAATAACATGTAATATAATATATCCTGAAATATTTCTATTTCATTTTCTATTGCTTTATATTTTAGTCTGCTCAGCTGTCTGTACTAGCAAATGAGAATGATAATGTTCTCTTCCAGAGAGGAGAAAGTGATATTTTAAATGTCTTTTAATCATTGTAATTCTGAAGACTGTTTCAGACCTAAATTAGGTAAACCAGCCCATCCATAAAGGTGGTTATTTCTCAGTCATGCCTGAAGCCAGTCCACTTAATTTTTTTTTAAAGCTGAGAACTGCACACAATACAAATCTACAACATATGTTGATGTGCTTTTGTTTTGGGATTGTAAAAGATGATTGAACTGATGATGCTAGCAGAGTTGCAATGGTTCTAGCAAATTACTGAACCTCAGGAGGACTGTCCTGGCAGCAATTGTAACTGCAGCTGTCATCTCAGTATTGTCATAGTATAGCTGTATTTTAACAGTTATTTCTCTTTTCAACACTACCGTATTCCATTCTCTGGCCATCAGAGTGCACATTCAGGTCAGTCAGGAACTTACAGTACCAAGAAATGTTTGATGTGACTCTTACTAGATTCTAGATGCTGAACATGTGTGGCTCTTGTCATAGTCCATAGGTGGGATGTCATTTTCTGAAACTTCCATTTCAGATTCATCTTCCAGCTCAATGCTGTATCCAAGGTAATTTAATTCTACATTGTAATCTAAATGTGCTTCAATTTTTTTTTTGGAGACAGATTAGTGGCATACGGTATTTTTTGCATTGCAGAAGCACCCGTGGTGACTTACGTAACATGAAATTTAAAGAACTGCAGTTTTACAGAATAAATATGGTATTTTCTCCCGTTTTCACTTTTCTGTCAGATATACATTTACATTTGGTCTCTCTTCTGTGGTGTAAAAGACTACAGTGCAGTGGAAAAACAGATATCTACAGACATCATGATTACATACAGAGCTTTCTAACCAAATCAACTGGAAATTGTTTGCAGTCTTATTTTAAGGCATATAGATAATTATTTCTCTTATGTACATTCCAAAATAAATTGTTTTCTCACTGTTAGTTCTGTTAGTTAAATCTACCAAGTCTTTTGCTTTCATTTAGTACTGCGTCTTCTATAAATTTGATTTCCTAGACTCAAGAGGACACATTTAATATATAGAATTTTCAGTTCTACCAGTCAGGTTTGTTTGCGTAGCTTCCAGGACACAAAACACCTCTGTAAATAACAACTTAAAAATACAAAGTGAAGAACAAACAGGAAGAGGCTCATAAAGTGTCATGACTTAGCTATTGGTATAGAATTTGAAGTTGTTTCCACTATATTTGGATTTGGTTTTGTATTTCAGGAACATATATTCTGCTACTTAAAAATAATGAAATAATCCAGTTTCCAATTCACATGCGAAAGTAGAATCTTCTTTAGTGAGTTAAGTGTAAGATTACTGCTGATGAAAATGGAAGTGGCCTACATTAGTATTTTTTCTGTGACTTTTCACCAAACAAAACAGTTTTCCAATGTCTCTCATGTATACATACTTACATGCATCTAACATTGCCTATAATGTTATCTGTAACAAATTTAATTGACTTTTGTGTTTATGCAGGGCCTCTGACTACACTGTGTGCTGCAGTCATGCGTTTTACAATGTAGTTAACTTTTATTCAGTTCTCTATAGCATTGTGTCAATAGTAAATCCAGTTTGTAGCTAGTCACCATGCTAAAATCCTGATGTATATACTGGTGGGCAATTCACAGGGATTTTTGGGTGAACTGTCTATATGCCTACAGAAGATTAATCTGCCTATGAAGTCTTGTCATCTCACAACATATAAAAAGGTTTGTATGGTTAGAAAGGTGTTAGAAAATCATAGATTATTTAGGCAAGCCAGTAGAGCTGATTAGAGTTGGACTAGCTACTGTAAGTCACCTGTTGGTGCTTTTAAGCCCAGCTGGTTCACCTCTCTAACTGCCCCAGAGACTGAGATTTCCACATGGGCTCACAAGTCAGCCATGATTTCAGTAAAGGAAGCTCTGAAGCCCAGTTTCTCCATTGAGAACACACTGTTTAAAATGGTGGATACGGGGTTGAAACTGTACTGATAAGCATCGGTAGGCTAATCTTTAATTGTGATCAAAGTAACTTTCTTTGACTAAGATTTTTTCTTTCATCACTGTTATCTATTTATTTAAACATTCATTACTGCTTAGTTATTGTTTCATTTATGGAAGTTTCATTTATGGAAATATGTTTAACATAGTGTTGAAACAGGTACTAAATATAAAACTTCACATAAAAATCATATTGGTACGAACTGCAGAACTGCTTTGCAAAGTAGAAACCAAATGCTTTTACCACACAAAAAAATAACCAAAGAAACAAACAAACAAAACCTTAAAGCAAGGTAATCTGAATTCATGAGAAATGGTGAATATGGGTGTTAGCTTTTTCACAAACCACCCATCCAAAGATTAAGAAAAGTTATTCTAAGTAAGATATGTATGCAGGAAATTGTCAGTCTGTCCCTGAACAAATCTCAAGCAGAAAAGAGAAACAAGCAAATTAGTTGATTATAGTATTCATTATCAATTATTCATTGAGACAAAAATACTGTATACTTTCTATAAAGGATTTCTTTTTTGTAGTAGATATTATGTTTCCCTAAGGCTGTTGTAACCATACTGTTTACTTATCTCTAGTTTTAGAAGAATGCTCTATTCTGATTACAACCATGGCTAGTTACTGTTAGATATACAATAGTTACTTTCTCACTGTCCTGGACACTTCACTATTTGTTTTTATAGGATGAAAAATAATAGGACAGTTTTCAGTTTGTCCATGCTGACAACTACTGCCTCTAGAACATATATTATTTCCCTAAAGATGTAATAATTGGCTTTATTTTTTTTACTGAAAACAAAGAGCTTATTACTTACTGGATGAGATCTTGTCAGATTGTTCAGACTGTGAAAATGGAGTGACATGGAAAAGTTTTTCCCTTTAATTAGATACCTTATACTAAAATACTGGAGAGTGTTGAAAATGCTTGTAAAGCAAACAAAAACTACTAAACATTTAAAATATAAAAATTACTACTTTGTATTCTCACTTGACTTTTTGACATTTATCATTTTGTGTGGGAGAAGAGAAGGAAGAGAGAAGAAAAGGAAGTTTAAAAAATTGAAAGATGTGAATGTTTTATTATGGTCAGAATTAATTTATTTAAAGCAATAAGGCATTTGATTTCTAAATTTGAAAGTAACACTTTTAATGGCTGTCATTTCTTGAAAACCACAGAAATTAAGACAGATCAGCAGCTTTCCAACATTTCGATCCTGCTCTGGCTGTGTATTTTTACTTAGCAAATATGCAAATTTGTGCCCTTCTAGGTTGATTACTGTGGTATACATTAAAATTAAACCGCTGCATATAGAAAGTGAAAAGTTTATTTTGGTTAGAAAATAAAACTCAATTTTTTTGGTGACAGTGTTAACTGTTCCCTGAACTGGCTTTCAGCTAATTACTAATTAAAATGGTCTTGTCTTCAAACTGCTCTGATTTAGTGATTCAGATTACTTTCCTGCCTATGTGGCCTTTCTGGCATAAGCCCCTGCAAGAGCTACTTGCATCTATAGTGCTGGGATTGCCAGCTTCTGGGTGTCACATGTCTGCTTAGGAGATGGAGCTTGTGCTTCAAAGGTTCTTCCAGCAGCCACTCTAGAAGGGCACAACTCAGTGCAGAGGAGATAAGGATGACCATGAGCACTAGTTCATAGGATCACAGAATCATTGCATTTGAAAGACTACTAATATCATATAGTCCAATCATCGCAGTTACTTCAAAAGAACCACTTGAGCAAAAAACTTCTGTAAATTAGTCTGTTCGTTGCGTGGTTAAAAGAACTGCTCCATACTGTGGGGGAAGATGCAACTGTGAGTGAGTCACCAAAGGGCTTATTGGACTCTGTGCTAGACCCTATCACTGTGAAACCTTCAGAGTGTAAGACAGAGCAAATGGTATTTGTTTGCGTCTAAAGGTAAACAGGAGGTTCCTTTTGTATGCGTTGTTAATCTTATCACACTTAACCTTTCATCCATTATCATCGTTGTTTGGAAAAAGCTAGGCCTAATTAACAGATTAGAGGGATAGGAAAGTAAGTGAATGGTACAATTGTTGTGTTCTCCATTCTTCCCAATATCTTGTTGAAACCATCAGAAGTTATCCATTTTCTGCACATGTTAGTGCATAGAAGCATTTTTTGTTCTTCTAAAGTTTCACTGTTTATTCACTTCTGAAATTTTGACTGATTTTATTAGCTATACATCTTACCTCTTCACTCTAAAATCATAACATTATTTTGTTGCTCATCTTGTTGCATATTTCCATCTTGTATTAATGTTTATGTTAAAATTTTTATGTAGCTGCCTTCTGGCTCTCTTCCTTCTTTGCACTGTACTGTAATAAGTGTCTCTTCCTCTTGTTGATTGGTATTTCTTCTTTTTGTGCACCTGTTCAGAAGACTTACCCACCAGAGTTTTTATTTCACAAACTTCTTGTAAGCCTACTAAGAGCATCTATTCAATTTTGAGATCATTTGATCTGTAAATTATTGATATTGATATTAAACCTCATTCTAGGTAAAAGCAACATTTAACAGGGAATTGTTCACATCATATATGTTTGTTCAAGCTTCTAAAAATGCGGAGAAGTAGAACAATTGTGGCTTAATATGCAAAGCATCTGCACAGTATTTTCAAGTCTCACACTGCAAGATGTATTTAAAGATAATATGTTGAGAAAGCAGAAAAACTGTGGAAAGTTAGAAAAGGTTTCAAAAGGAAAATGAAATATAGTCAAGATAAAACAAAATTTTAGTTAACTTTGTATTATAGCTTATTTGTGGTTCTGTTTT